CCCTGTGCTAAATTTTTTATTTTACAAAATCTGAAAACAATTGAAAATTTCTCATTTTTTTGCTCCTATTTTCGTTTATAATTCGGAAAATATTGATCCTAGAGAAAAAATTGTAAAAAGTTAAAAGTTACGTAATTCTATTTTACACAATATTTCGTTAGCTAGAAATTGAAAATTTAATGTTTATTGTTGAAAAAATGGCAATAATTGGAAAAAAAGTACAAAAAAATGACGTTAATCCTTTAAATGTTTTTGACCTTCTAAACTTAGCTCCATATTCCGCCTAGAAAAACTTTTTAATATGTTTAAAACGTGTGCTAAATTTTGTTAAGATTGGTCGAATAGGTTTTGCATAATAATTGTGCAATCCAGCCTACTGGACAAAAATCGCAAATTTTCAAATTTATAGTAGGCCCTAAATAAGGCCCTCAGATAGCCTTTACTTTAAACATATCATTTTCGAATCAAAATATATTGTCAAATCAAATAATGTCATTATTATGATAAAACTGCAGAATTTAATTATTTTAAAAAGTTTGATATTTACAAAAAAATTCGTTCGCCTTTGTTTTAAAAATTCAAATTATTTATTAACAATTTATAAACACATATTTGTTTACTAAAAATAACAATATATAATAACAGTAATAATTTAAATTGTTAAAACAAATGCCAACGATTTTTTTTTCTCGTAAAGCTCGTAAAGTTATTCAATTTGTTTATAAGCCTAAAAAATGTTTAAGATTTCTAAGTTATGATAAAGTTATGTTAAGATAAAAAAATTTCTAGGCTCTCCTAGTGAACCGATTTGAATTTCACAAAAAGCGTTTGGAAGTTTGAGCCTTCCTTTATATGTATAAAAAATTGAAACTATCTGAGGGCCTTATTTAGGGACTGCTATAATTTTGAAAATTTGCGATTTTTTTTTCAGTAGGCTGGATTGCAAAATTATTATGCAAAACCTATCCGAGCGATCTTAAAAAATTTAGCACACGTTTTAAACATATTAAAAAGCTTTTCTAGGCGGAATATGGAGCTTGTAAGTCAAGTTTAAAAAGTCGAAAACATTTAAATTCTTCTTTGGGTGCCGTGTCCGTATTCAGACGTTGGCCGTCATCATGTTTACAATTTCCTGAAACCTTTCTCTGTCGGCTGCTGCGCGAAATAATTTTTCTACTGTGAAACCACACCATTGTCTAATATTACTCAGCCATGAAAGTTTCTTTCGACCAATCCATCTCTTTCCTTCCACTTTTCCTTGTATTATAAGGCGAAGTAAATGGTATTTAGGTCCTCTAATTATATGGCCTTAGTATTCTGTTCTTCTCCTTTTTATGGTGTTTATGAGCAGACGTTCTAAATTGATCATTTCAAGAACATCTTCATTGGAAGTGTGCGAAACCCACGATATCTTTAGTATTCGTCTATAGCACCACAATTCGAATGCTTCTAACTTGTTTAGCATTGTGCGGTTTTTCAACAATAAACATTAAATTTTCAATTTCTAGCTAACGACATATTGTGTAGAATTGAATAACGAAACTTTTAACTTCTTATAATTTTTTCTCTAGGATCAATATTTTCCGAATTATAAACGAAAATAGGAGCAAAAAACGAGAAATTTTCAATTCTTTTCAGATTTTGTTAAATCAAAATTTAGCACAGGGTTTGCGACTGGCGCATATCGTGATTATCGATATTGGGCCCATCCTGAAGGGATTCCAGCAAAAAAATAGCTTCCTATGGAAAATGTCCATTATGGTCTGAATTTTTACAGATTCCGCCTAGTCTAATATCGTACTATTGTCGATGAACTGAGAAAATGCGCAGAATGTATTATGCTAAAGAAAAAACTATTAATAACTTTTTTATCGTACAGAGAACTGGATTTATATTTTAAAAATTACTTTTAAATGACATCCGTTAAAATAACTGTCAAAGTGGTTTTAGTTTTTTTGGAGCTCCTCCAAAAAAAATATGTTTAGCAGTTTTTTGGTAGATTACAGTCTTAATATTGTTCTGAAGCTATTTTCTCGTGGCATTTTAAATTAATTACTATTTAACTGGGAATAAGCCACAATTAAAGATAAAAATACGTTTATTGACGTTTCAATTTCCACTTCGGAAATCGTTCTCAAAATACAAACAGTAAATTAAACAAATTTTGCTTTTTGTTACATAGTGAAAAATTCTTCTAATAATTTAATTTTATCTGACTCATTTATATTGACAATTCAGACATACATTATGCATTTTAAAGTAGACGACTTTAAAATGATATTGCCAATATTGTTGAGTTGCGCTCCTGAGACGACTTTACTTATAAGATAGTTCATTCGATTACATGAAATCAACTTTAACTTGAGAATATCCGTCAGAAAAGAATCATAGCATGTAATTTCCTAGAAGAAACGGATGGTAAAAAAAGAAAAATCAAAGAAGCGTCTCTAATTATGCTAAATGAGACCAATTGTGTCGCAAATTCCTCGGCAGAATGTAGTAGGATCTGGTTACCAATATTGTAAGAGGAAGTTATTAATAAGAAAATACCAGTATTAGTAAGTCAGTAACATCTAGAGGATACATCATTTATGTTTTTTAAATAACGAAACATATAAAATCAGAATTTTGGTGTTTATTGAAGGTAAACTAAATGCACGAACAAATACTTACCATGTCAGGATAGTATTATGAGGTTTTTTTCCTGGTTTTTTCCTCATAATTTATTATGGACTCACTAACAGGAGAATTTTACTGTCATCATGTCATGTGATTGTCTTTTTAAAGACGATGATTTTTTTCTGACGGATATTCTCAAGTAAAAGTTGATTTCATGTAATCGAATGAACTCTCTTATAAGTAAAGTCGTCCCAGGAGTGCAACTCAACAATATTGGCAATATAATTTTAAAGTCGTCTACTTTAAAATGCATAATGTATGTCTGAATTGTCAATATTAATGAGTCAGATAAAATTAAATTATTAGAAGAATTTTTCACTATGTAACAAAAAGCAAAATTTGTTTAATTTACTGTTTGTATTTTGAGAACGATTTCCGAAGTGGAAATTTAAACGAAATTGAAAATTCAATAAACGTATTTTTAACTTTAACTGTGGCTTATTCTCAGTTAAATAGTAATTAATTACAGTATTTTTTCTACATTTAAAGACGTCGGAGCTACGTTGGCTTTTCAGTGCAGTGTTTATAGTCCTAGCAGAGGTCTACGAGAGTCATTAATACTTATTATTAATATAGTATTTTTTATATAAGCATGCGTGAACGTCATTCAAGATTTAGGAGAACCCCCCATCGTTGCCAAAACATTAGAATAGTAAGTAAGCGAGGTATTTTTAAAATGTCAACTATTTGTCAAACTAATCATATTAACAGTAAAAACAGTTTTAATATTACTGCAACACACAAGAAAATACACAAACAAACATAGGTCTCAAACGACGGCGTCAAAAGAAATCAGATCGATCATATTCTAGTAGATGCGAGGAGGGGTAGTAACTGTCTAGACTTAAGAAGCCTAAGGGGAGCTGATGTAGACACGGATCATTTTATGATAAAAGCGAAGATAAGGACAAGAACAGCCTCCAAAAAAACACACAAGAATACACCAACACAATTATGGAATACCGAAGTTCTATGTAATAATGAGACAGAACAAAAATTTCAAAAGGCTATGAAAATAGCTCTAACACAGACAGAAGACTATAACAACATAGATTCAGCTTGGAAAAATATCAAATCAGCTCTGACAAGCGTATCAGATGAAATACTAGGACATAAAAAGAAAACAACAAAAAAATGGTTCGATGATGATTGACTGAACTCCATAATAACAAGAAATATGGCTAAAAGGAACATGCTACAAAAACCCTCACACAACAACAATGAAATGTATAGACAAAGAAGACCAAAGATAAAAAAACTAATGAATAACAAGAAAGAAGAGGGTGTACCAGGAACAAATAATCAGAGATATAGAAAAAACAAAGAAAGAACAGACAAGCGAAAAATTTCTTCAAAGGAGTCTCAGATTTTAAGACTGGGTAGCAAGTAAGAACAGGAAACTTCCTTTAAAACGACAGCGGGCAGCTGTCACTGATGTAAAGGAAATCCTAAAAACCTGGAAGGAATACTGCTATCAACTATTGAACGACCAATCTAGCAGAAATGCATCAAACATAGAGGTACATACAGGTGAAATAGAAGACCAATACCCGACATACGAAGAAGTAATACAGGAAATTAAAAAACTTAAAAATAATAAGACACCAGGTAGCGATGGTATACCCGCAGAGTGCTTAAATCATGGACGAGAAGCGTCGTACAGTTCGATATACAAGCTAATTCAAGACATTTGGTGAGAAGAAATAATGCCAGATGAATGGAAAGAAGGGGTTATTGTACCAATACACAAAAAGGAAACAAAAAGCAATGTATTAACTACCGGGAATAGCACTCCTAAACACCACCTACAAAATCCTTGCAAACATCCTGCTAGAAAGAACCAAAACATACACAGAAGAGATCGTTGGAGATTATCAATGCGGATTTAGATCGGGCCGCTCTACTACTGACCAGATATTTACAATAAACAGATAATGGAAAACTGCTGGGTGTTTGATCGTGAGCTTCACCACTCGTATAATAAATACATTTTTACATTTTTCATTACTCGGTCCGTGACTTTTACCATGTGAAACAAAGGACTCGAAGTATTCTGTTCAGAACAATCCCAAACTATTATCATGATTTAAATAAACTTTAAACCAATATTATTGACATTTTTTTGTAGATATAGATATTTTAAAACTTATTAGATATTGATACTTTGTAAAGGAAAACTTAAAAGCCTAAAAACCCATATTTGTGGGCAAACACAAATACAATATTATGCAAACTTTAAACTGTTGCAATAAATCTAAATCTAAATCTAATTTTAGATTTAGATTTAGATTTATTGCAACATTTTGAAACCACATGCTTACCCAATCCTTCCTTTCTTTTAGTGGTAGATCTAAAAGAGATTTCCCAAGTTGTGTTCTAACGGTATTTTTCATCGAGTTTTCAACTAGCACTAACCAGTTTTCGACGTTTCCGGTTGGGTAAAGTGGTGGATCCAGATCCACACATTCTTCTTCGGCTGAAAACATTTGAGTTATGCGTAGATCTTCCTCGAATGTAAGCTAAAAATAATTTATTATTAAGAAGTCTTAGTTGTACGAAATTGAATGTTCCAATATTTGTAAATAAACAGTATGACTGTTTAATAAAATAAATGAAATATATAAAGAGCTGCCTAACCCTCGAGCGGGCGCGCTCGTGTATTTTGTACACGTCCAATAGAAAAAGTCGTCTAAAAATAGAAGTGTCGTCAATCTGGCGATATGGTCGCGTCTATTCGTTCGTCGTTCGAATAGTTGAGTAATATTTTTTGTTGCAGCTGAGTTTTGTGAGAATTCTTAGAAATACGAGGGTGTGACGGTTTTGTGTACATAATACACGGCGCGCCTTCTAGTGTAAGTATTTTATCCATTAATTATTTTACTTTATAAAAAGTTGTAATTCGAAATTAAAGTCAAATTAACTTTAGTTTTACTTTATTTAGGTTGAACAGGATATTGTAACATAATTAAGAAGGAATATAACGGCTACGCTGAAAGAATATAATGTAAGAATTCAGTTGCATTGTTATATTATTTGTATGTTACTTTTTTTATTTTTGCAGGGCTAGAAAGACGTTTTTAACTGAGGCTGAGTTAAATAAAATTCTTAATAAGGACCCAGAAACAGAAACTAGTGAAATAGAATATTCCGATGAATCTGAGACAGATGAAGAAATAATACACCATGATGACCACAATTCTGAATCTGAACAAGAACAGAATGACCGCGACAGAGCCAGTAACTTCGAGGATAATACCGCAGTAAGTACGACTACTTTCGAGTATTTTCAAGGTAAAGATAAAAAACTGCATGGCGTAAGAGTCGGCTGTCGTCACAATCAAAAATTAAAAAAAATATATTATCAAAATACTTCCAGGACCAAAGGCAGTGGCTTCAAAAGAGACCTCAGAACTTTCAGCTTTTGAAAAAATTGTAGATTCTGATATATTAGAGAACATCGTACAGTTTACTAATTTGTACATTGATAGTAAAAAAGAATCTGTTCAATATAAAAGAGAACGAGATATGACACATACTTCAATAAGTGAGATAATGGCGTTACTGGGAGTGCTTTACCTCCTAGATGCTAAAAGGCTAACCATACTAACGCACTTGAACTTTGGACATCTGATGGAACAGGTATAGAAATTCTTAGAGCTGTAATAAGTTACAAAAGATTTTTATTTTTGTTACGTTCAATGCGCTTTGATGACAAAACCACAAGACATGAACGGAAAATATATTGACAAACTTGCACCAATTAGAAAAATATTGGACGCATTTGATAGTAACTGTAAAAATTCCTATAATCTTGGTGAATTTGTTACAATAGACGAAAAACTAGAGGGATTCAGAGGACGTTGTAGTTTCATCCAGTATTTACCAAATAAACCAGCAAAATACGGTATCAAGCTGTTCATTTTGGGTGATGCACAAACTTACTTTGTTACCGATAATTGTTATACCAGTTATCCTTTAGCTATTTCCCTTTTGGAAAATAAAATAACTACAATTGGTACTTTGAGAAAAAACAAAAGGGAAATACCTATTGAATTTTTACCCCAAAAATAAAAAGAAGTGGGCACGTCACTCTTTGGATTCCAGGAAAATGTCACATTGGTTTCATTTGTTCCAAAAAAAAAGTAAGTCGGTCATAATTTTATCCACGATGCATGACACTGCCACCATAGACGTCGAAACTAAAAAACCAGAAATTATTCTAGATTATAATGCCACAAAAGGCGGTGTGGATACTTTTGACCAAATGTGTGAATCATATTCTGTAAAAAGAATAACCAGAAGATGGCCACTAATTATATTTTTTTCTCTAATGGATATGGCGGGTATCAACGCGCAGGTGTTGTTTTAAGCCAATAAAACAAATCCCAAAATATGTCGCCGAATTTTTCTAAAGAATTTAAGCTTGAGTTTAATGAAAGTACATCTTTCAGAAAGAGCGACAATGCGATATCTTCCTTGGGATATTTAAGGTTTTCTAATGAAATATAAATCATGTGAAGAACCTACTAGAACAAAAGTGCAAAGCTCTAGAAAACGTGGACGTTGTGCAATATGTCCAGGCTCAAAAAATTCCAGCACAACAGTTAGATGTGGGCTATGTAGAATATTTGTACGTAAAATGCATTCAGAAACCACAATTACCTGCGTGAAATGTAAGAACAATGAACGGCAGCAATCAGAAGAAATCGAGTGAAGTAACCCGTAGGTACATATTTTATGTTTATTACTTTATGTAACAATAAACTATTTTTGTAAATCGTGGTTGTCATTTTGTTAAAACACTCTAAATTTGGTAAAATCAACTAAAATGTGTTTTGTGTACAAAATACACAGCGCGCCCGGTTATGAAACGGTAGTCGGCGCGCCTGTTGTAGGGTTAAAGTGGCTACATGGAAAAAGCAGAATTATTAGAAACATTAAAATAGTCAGATAGTAATCAAACAGGAAATAGGGGAGTAGTGGAAGAAATAAAAAGAATCAAAAAAATCAGAATATTTAGAAGAATCAGAAGAAAAAAACCTTAAGTATTAAAGGAATAAGCAAAAGCAGAAGAATTAGAAGAATCAGAAAAATAAGAAGATACAGAAGAATAAGAAGATACAGAAAAATAAGAAGAATCAAAAAAATCAGAAGAATCAGAAGAAAAAGAAAAATCAAAAGAATCAAAAGAATCACAAGAATCAGAAGAATTATAAAAATCAGAAAAATAAGAAAAATTAAAAGAATCATAAGAATCAGAATGAATCAGAAAAATCAGAAGAATTATAAGAATCAGAAGAATCACAAGAATCAGAAAAATCAATCTGAAAAACATATTGGAGTTGGACAATAAATATTATTTAGAATTTCAGAAGAATCAGGAGAATAAAAAAATTGAGTCTATCAAAAGAATTATGATCAAGAGAATCATTAGTCAGGAAAAACCAAAGAATTGAAAAAAATTGAGACATAAAATAATTAGAACATCCAGAATAAAAAGCGATCTGTAAGATTAAGGTTACATTACCATCCCATGTCTTCATACTTTTTTAACTAGTCTTTCTTGATTCATTCTAACCATGTGTTTATACCATCTCAGTTGGGCCTCTTCAATTTTCTTAATAATTGGTTGAACTTTAAGATGTTCTCTAATTATACTTCTGTCTAACCTGGTTATACCCATTATTCTGTCAAGAAACTTCATTTCTATGCTCTGTATTTTTGATTTTAATTTATCAGTAAGCGTCCAACTTTTACTACTGAAAGTTAAAATCGACACAAACACTGTCTTGTATATGGTCATTTTAGCTTTTTGGGATACTTCTTTCTTCGACAAACACGCACTTTTAATTGCGTGGTACACCCGAGCAGCACATTCTATTCTGGAACTTATTTCAGTTTCTTCAGTTCCTCTGTTCTCTATTTGCCCTCTCAAGTATTTGTAAGTATCGACGTGTTCAAGTGTATTTCCGTTAAGTGTTATCTTCGTTTTAGATCTTTCGTAAATTTAGTTTGAGTGTTTCTTCATTTCTCCGAAATATCACCAGATCTTTTTCTTTAATTATGTCATCCAAGACAATATTAAACTGTATGGGGCCTAGGATACCTCCTTGACGTAGGCTCTCATTTACTATGAACTCTTCGGATTCCATATTATCGGTTCTAAGTATGTTCCTTGTATGTATATACATACTTATAATGGCTTGCCTGAGTTTGATTTTCACACCTTTCTCGTTTAAACATGTGTCAATCACCTTCCTTGGAGTACTATCAAATGCATTTTTTTAAGTCTATAAAGGCTTCGTATAACTCAGTGATTGAGTTCCGTGCATTTTGTATTAGTTTCTTGATAGTATAAATGTGATCTAGGATGCTTCTGTCTTTTCTAAATCCACTCTGATTTTTAAATTTTAAAATCAACTTCTTTCGTGGTAGTCTTCTTCCATCTTGTTTCCGAATTCTTCCAAACTTTTCCGTTTCGCTGCTAGTACCAAATCTTTGACTTTGATTCTTTGCAGTTTGTATAAGTGGTAGTTGTCTGCGGTATCGTTCCTTAAATTATTTTTCCAAGCTATCTTCTTGGACTCCACTTCTGCTTTTATTTCATTGTTCCACCAGTTTGTACACTTTTTGTTTCTGTTATTTCTTGTTATTCCGCATACTTGTTTACCACCATTTAGGGGTACTTCTTTTAGTATTTGTCAATTTTAGTCTAAGTCACAGTCATGTTCAGCGTGCTCTGTTAAGTAGTTATTAACGTAGTTTTCAAACTCGTTAGCTTTCTCCTTGTCTGCTAGCTTGTATGACCTGATTACTTCTATCGTAGTTGTATCATGAGCTTTACTTGTTTTTTGGTCTCTTTCGTTATTGATTCTTGTCGCACTCCCAAGCTGGTCTTGGCTACAACTAGGTGCTGGTCACTACATATTTCAGCTCTTTGTTTTACTCTTACGTCTTTAATATATTACCTCGATGAGCTATTTATTAACACATATTCTATAACGGATTTTTTGCCTCTACTTTTGACTTCTATTGTATATTTATGTACATCTTTGTGTTTAAAAAATGTATTCATTATTATTAAATTATTTTCTCTGCATATATCAATAATACGTTCCCCATTGTAATTTTTAATTTTTTTTCCATATGGTCCTAATACATCTTGGGTATGTTCATCTCTTACACCTACTTGACCATTTAGATCCCCTAGTACTCTAATATTTTCTTCTAAACTATTCTTATCCCAGAATAAGTATTTGCTAGCTGCTCTTTTGTCATTATTTATTCCATACATAACGATGATATTGACTAGTTTGTGTTCCGCAGTTACCAGCCTCATCTTTAGAATTCTTTCGGAAATGCATTCCCAATCTTGAATATTCTTTATTAGATTACTGTGAATTATGCAGCCAACCCCTTCTTTTACCCTTTCGCCAAGTGACACTCCACTGGTGATGAGAAAGTATCCATTTTTTTTTAAACTGGGTTTTTCCCTTTATTTTAGCCTCTGTTATGCCCAGTAAGTCTATTTGATTTTTCTTAAATTCTTCAGCAAGTTTAACTGCTTTGGCGTTTAGACCTCTGACATTCCATGCTGCTAATGTTCATCCTTAGGCCTTTAGCACTGCTTCGTTATTGTGGACCGTGTCACTAAGCTCTTTTTTGTTTATCAAAAACCAGGGACCAAAAATATTAGAAAAATAATGAGAATTATAAAAGTCTGAGTACTCAATAGAATCAGAATATTTTAAATTATCGCAAGCGGGAGGAAAGTTCAGAATAGTCAAAAGTTGCAAAAGAACAGAAGTGTGACAATTAATAACAAATTAAACATGCAAGAAGCAGGATAAGCGAAAAAAGCAAAAAGAAAATATGACGAAGAGACAATAAGAAGAATCGTGAACAGTAGAATTAACAGAAAAATCTTTTAACGTGTGAAAATTTACTAAATATGTTAAAGAAAAATAGCAGTAACACGTTACCATGGCGATGTTTTCGAAGCATTTCTTTAGATGAGGTTGAACAGCCAGTGGGTTTCGTGCCTGAGACAGAATTTCCAAGAGTTCATCATCGCTAAGGAAGAAGAGACGCGGAAATATCATGCGTTTGACTTCCAGGTATTCGGACAGACCTTTTTGAACAATTTGTAGAACGTGGTTTGCGTCTTTCAAACTTTCTAGCAGAGCACGGTTCCCACAGAATTCAATAATCTGAAAAATAAATAAATAACTATAGAAAGATTTGTTAGGGACATGGGCAACTAAAAAAAAACATGTAGTTTCTATCCTTATTCTGTAAAAATTCTACAATCAAGAGTCGAAAAGATAAAAAAAATTTCCTGGGTTTCAAGTGCCATGTCAAAACTTCCCAAACACTATTAAATAATGCAATATTACGTGGAAAAATCGTTTGATTTAATTTTTACGACATATCTTCTATTTTTCTTGTTGGTTACACTTTTGGTGGCATATGTGGACGAGAAAAACTTTAAAACAAATAGTTATTTAATTTTTTTTTTGTTGAATATCAGTAGCATCAACTGCTAATGGTTATTAACGACTTGTTACATTAACCCTTAGAATAGAATAGAAATATGCTTTATTGTCACTGAAAATTATTGAACAATTTTGTGGACAAAGCTAAAAAATAAATCAGTCAAATAATACAAAAAGTATAAAACAAAAACAATATAGTAAAAAACAGAATAACACAATTTTAAATTAGTAAAATTATTGTATAACCTACATAATTTGTACAGACAACAACAAATGAGACAAATTGTAGCCACTGCTTGAGACACCCAAATGTAATTATAAACAATACTAATTTTGTTTCTTTGTTATACATTAAGAAACTCGTCAACTGAATAATATGGTCTTTCTAAGAGATAGATTTTTGTCACCTTACGAAACTTAATGAAGGATGTTGCGGATTTAATTTCTCTTGGAAGGTGATTATAAAGTTTCTTTGCACGATATAGAATAGAATTCTTTACTAGCTGAGTGGACGGGATCGGCAAATAAACGTTACAATCCGAATTTCTAATGGAGTAGCCATGGTCAGGTCTATCGGGAAAAATGTTTAGATGCCTTCGAATCAAACAAACCATTTCCAAAATAAATAAAGAGGGAAGCGTCAAAATTCCGTGATTTTTGAAGTAGGTCTTGCAGTGAGTTGTTTGTTTGAGACCAAATAGATAACGGATTTCTCTTTTTTGCAACTTAAAAATAGTATTAAATTGGGCCGGTGTACTAGAACCCCAAAATGGAAGCCCATATCGAAGATGGGACTCGAACAATGAGAAATATGCAATTTTGGCAGAAGATAAATTTAGTTCCTTTAAAACAGACCTTATTGCAAAGCAAGCTGAGGCTAGTTTCTTCCTTAAGGAGTCAGTATGCAAGGACCATTTGAGATCACTGTCAATGAGAATACCTAGAAATTTCACGGAATTTACGATATTGATTTGGCTCTCATTCAAAAAAAAGGGTTGCATGACTCCTTTATAAGATAATGCTACAGTCTTATCCACGTTAAAGCTAAGTAAGTTGGAGTAAAATTTTCCCTTTAATTTTCAAGTAAGTGATTAATGAAAAGTAAAAAAAAAGAATGGGACCTAATACTGAACCTTGCGGTACTCCACACTCAATATCTCTACAACTAGAGTCGGTGTCATTTATTCTAACCAAGCTTAATATCCTAGCGTGACATATAAGTCTTGCAATATTGTGTAATTTAAACAGCGCCATGTAAGGAAATTGGTTATAGGATCGCATAGATGGTGTAAGTATTGTGCAATTTGACACTTCCTCTAATACATGTTACTAGTTTGCAGACATAGTGTTCGAAAATGTTGTGCCTGTAAACATGTAAAAAAGGCAGTCAATAAATATTTATAGTCGGACAATTTTCAATTAAAGGTGACTAATCTACAAATTGAACTAAACGGTAGCGGCCACCATGGAAAATTTTATTAGTAAATTCTTACCGGGGTCATTTTTATTGTGTATGCTTCGCCCATATAAATATGTAAATTTGTAACTCATGTAAGATGAATTTGCCCCATAACAATATAAATTGGTACGATTCACCCGAAAACACCATAACACCATAACTCTATATGCCGAGCCAAAATTTTGTGCAGTATGTTACAGATTTGGAAATTATGTTTCAAGAGAATTTTCAAAATTTTAATCATTAACCGAAAATCTTACAAAACTACGTTAGCTTATTCGACAAAATACCATATACGCATCCTTACAACAATTAATAGAAATTTTAAAGTATCTAAGACAAAAGAACATAGGAAATAAATAATTTGGAAACATAATTAGCTGTAAAACTTGTTTGTTTGGATAACTGCGGACACTAAATCCATTCTCAAATTTTAATTTTTGTTTTTACTTATAAGTCATGTTTTCTATACAATTTTATCTGTAAACGAATACTAACATTAATTTCTAATAAATAATCCTTTTTATATTTTTTGATAATTTAGTTAGTTAAGTAATTCATTATTTAGTTTTATAATGTATTTTTTGATAATTACTTCTATAATATAATAAATTCTTATGCAGCTCTATATTTATTTCAAGGGCTATTTTGCCATATATTGTCCAAGTTCCTCATTTTTTTAGGATGAGAATAGTACTCTCTCTAACTATCTGAAATATCTTCTGATTTGATTTGTTCTTGATTTAAAAAAATTAATAGTGTTCTTTTTCTATTTTGATATAAAATTTTCAACATAATATAACGTACATATATTCCTGTTCCTGGCGAAGTATTTTTCTTATTCTTAAGACTGATTTCTAATTCATACAACCTAAATGTTACTGAAAGGGGATAATATTGTGTAATGGATAACACTGGACATAATTTTCTTAAAAACGCATCAACTCATTCTCCTTTGATCACTGTATTTACTTATGGTTTAAAAATGGATTTGACTAGACTATCTCCGGCAGACATCCTGACAATGCAGATGCTTTGTTGATCTGACTCCTCACGTCCTTACTAGGACACAATTTAACTTGAAAAAATAATTTTATTACCGTTTCGACTTCCAATTCGGACGTCGTTGTCAAAATACAAAATATTAATTTATTTTTGTATTTTGACAACGACGTCTGACTTGGAAGACGAAACGTTAATAAAATTATTTTTTCAAGTTAAATTGTAGCTTATTTCCGAATTAGAATAGTTGATATTCGTTTAATTTATTAAAAAATTGTTGAAATTGTTAAAAATAAGAAAGACGAAGAGAATTTTTTTTATTTAAATTTGTGGCTAAAAATCACCATAAAACATAAAAAGCTTCTCGAGACTATTAAAAAACTTTTTCCATTCATTTACGGTAATTTTAAGATTTGGTTTTACTGTAAAACCATGTAAAACTTTGCATAATATATAGAATAAATGGTTATCTTTTCATCAGTTTGAATTTTAATTGATGTATTCTTGCACATTACGCGATTGATTTGACGAAAAGACTATTGCAAAATTTAATTAATTTTTTGCAAACTACAACTAAAACTAAACGAATAATGCAGAAAACACAAAAAATCGCCGATATAACCAAATTCACCTACGAAATGTAAATAAGGACAAAATTTCATAAATGTCAAAATTTCATAACAGTGGGGTAAACTTGCCTCCCGTTGGACGAATTATAAACAAGCGCTATGACGCGGTAAACTTGAATTACTCCTCCTGGTTTAAAAACAGGGTATAGTAATGCCGTGAGAGCTTCGAAATTAACCTCCTTTTTATTTAACGTTTATATGACATGTACCTACAATATATTAAAAACCATTGAGATTTTAAAATTTGCGCAATACCGTTGATATTTAAAATACCGTTGAAAAATATAAACAATGTATTATAATATTGTTTTTAATTTAATAAACCCTTTGTTTTTGTAATATTAACATTTAGTGAGAACATCTGGACAGTTAAATATAAAAGCCGCATTTTTTATTTAAATAAATTGATAGTAGTAGGCTCAGAAAATTTTAATACGGCTCTGTAAGGTTAACGGTGGTGGATTACGAATTTCGTACTTTGCCGGTATTACTTCCTAAGATCAAAGCGCCGACAGACGAGTGGTTTTACTGTGGAACCTCTTTATACTGTGGTATTGTCAGATGCACCACTATTTTGCCGTTTTTCTGAATATAACGAATTATTGCATATAGCCACTTTTGATCGCAAAAGTAGGATATAGCCACTTTTAATGCAATATGCCGACTTTATATTTTAAAATATAAATAGCTCGTTTTGAACACTAATGAACGTGCCAGTTGATAGATCTTGTAAAACTTACCGAAAATCACAAAAAAAGCATAATTTGGAAAAAATGGATATAGCCCCTTTTGAACGCAAGCTCCTCAAATGCTAATATACATAAAAGCATTATTAGTACTAAGATATGTCCGGTTCCTCTACAAAACGGCGCGTCTTCGTACTTATAATAGATTTCTGACAAAATATAAAAAATGCTTATTTTTGTACATATCATTTGCTTTCTCGTCTCACCGATTCATTTGATAAATAAATCGTTATTTACATTGTAGAAGGTATCCAAAATTTAGTTTTTAATTTAATTTTTAATACTTTTTAGAGGCGATGCTCCTATTTTTATCAATGAAATATTTAATGTTTTAATATTGCTAAAAATGATTAATTCTATAAATAACAAATTTAATTAACAAGCCTTAAGCCCACACACAATGTTGCGTTATGTAAATAAATACGACTGACATTTAACGTGATATTATTACCAACATAGACCTTTGAGCAAAAGTATTTTAAATTTAAACCGTAAAGCACTTTGTAATGGATATATTACGAGATGAAGTAGATACATACACGAGGATTGTTAATTAAGTTTAAAAAGTATCGAAAACTCTTTTATTGGTGTTTAGCATATTTCATTCGATTTTAACTATAAAATGTTTTTTAGCCTTTAAGATTCAGCAGGGTTCAAATGCAATTGGCGACGTGCAAGTACTTGGATGTGATACAAGAAACGATCGTGCGCGAATAGCGGAGAAATATTGCATTTTTTACTGCATATTTTATAGATTTCATAAATTCATATTGTCAATTGTCATATTTCATACTCGTTTGTTTATTTACACCTTCTGTCACTGAAGAAAATGGGATTTAGAAAATGCTGTTTTATAAATTGGAAAAATACAACAAAAAA